GATTTTTGAGGATATACTCCTAATCTCCCACCACAGCAACTGGCATATAGTAAATATTTATGAAATGTTTATCTAAGAAAAATATCTTGCCTGAGTTCAAGGAGCATGGCACTTGATTCTGGGAAAACATCAGGACCACTGGAGTTTAATATTCACCTTCCTTCAAAGAAATGGGCTAAATGGGATGCCTGGCTGGCTCAGCGGATAAGTGTCTGCCTTTGGCTCAGGGTGTGATCCTGGAGTTCCCAGTTCAAGTCCGGCATTGGGCCCCCTGCAGAGAGCCTGCTTCTCCCTCTGCTTGTGTCTCTGCCTCTCTGTGTGTGTGTGTCTCTCATGAATAAATAAATAAAATATATTTTTTAAATGGGCTGGTTTTTTTTTAGTTTGACCTAATGGTGAACAAATGAACTTCTTTAGTAGCCAATTAGTAGACTTGAACCACCCATATCACCTTAAAGAAATACCTGTCAACCCCTCCTGTTTCATCTTTCATGGACATTTTAACCAAGACTTCTGATACTCATATTTTTTGTGTTCCCATTATTTAAAATACAGTCGGGTACAAAAATATGCAATTATAACCTGCTTCAAGCCCTTAAGGGATCATTCATTTCATGCTGTTTTTTAAGATAAAGGTAAATTTTTAGAAAACCGAAAACACGTAGCAAAGCTGAAACCCAACAAACATTTAGATAACACAAAACAGGAAAACTTCAGAGCTGGGGGCCAGATGTCTTGAAGAATTTTTCTAAGGAAAAGTCTTTGAGATGAACTGTCTCTGCTGGTTTGCTGCCCAGCATTTTTTCATTGGAGCCGCTATTGCGCAAGATTGCAACAACAGTTTGATCTTTGTCTTGATCTTGGTTCTTTTTGGCCCCAATAGGTTGGGATTATTTTCAATAACTGCGCTGGAAACAGCTCTGTCAAGTGCCTTCTTTGTTTCATGCCACAGATCTTGACTGAAAATAGTACAATAGCTTCGTTAGGGACTATAAAAGGCTCAGGCCAGGAATCCTCGGGAAGCCACAATAGAAAGATACCAAGGCTGTTTAGGAGAATAAAATAAGAACAACTGTCTATCAGTGGGTCAATTAAACATGCTCTTCCTCCTTTGCTGGAACAAGCAAGTGACTGAGCCTCACAGTTTGGGGTCTGCTTCTTGCAATAGCTTCACTGACCCCACAAAGCACTGAGCAGACTTGCCTCGGGGTCATCGGACTTGATGCTTCATCTAAACCACACTGGGAGAGGAGTACCACTGCTAGGTTCCCTTAAAGGAAAATGTTAAATTGAAACCAACCCCATTGCCAGTGTTTCTCAGAATAAAAGGAGCATGCTAAGTGAGACAATTGTAAAGTATCATCTCCTCCACTCTGCTTTTTGCCAGAATATTCTATTAACTTAGCAACATTCAGAGCCTTGTCAGGATTCCATATTACAGTCCACAGACTTAATTGGGACCATACAGAGAGAATGGCAAGCATGGGCTAAGTTTCCCAAGGGTTTAGATTATTGAAAAGAGTCACACAATATGCGTTGGGATTGAGGGGGCCCAGCAGGGGGGTACAAGGGGCTCAAAAGCAAGATCTACTGTATTTTGGTCTGTTTGACTTTTCTTCATATGTTAGAATTTTTTAAGATTTAGAATCTTTAGCCAGAAAAATATCTTTAACATTGATGATCCCCTTGGTTTCTTTTAATAAACTGCCTGAGACTTAGGAGAGGTATAGCAACTAGATTTGAAACTGTAAGTCACAGATCCCTGGGTGGCTCAGCGGTTTAGCGCCTGCTTTTGGCCTCAGGCATGATCCCGGAGTCCTGGGATCGAGTCCCACATCGGGCTCCCTGCATGGACCCTGCTTCTCCCTCTGCCTCTCTCTCTCTCTCTCTCTCTCTCTCTCTCTCATGAATAAATATTTATTTATTTATTCATGAGAATAATGAAAATAAATATTTATTTATTCATGAGAGAGAGAGAAAGAGAGGCAGAGACACAACACAGGCAGAGGGAGAAACAGGCTCCATGAAGGGAACCTGATGTGGGACTCGATCCCGGGACTCCAGGATCACACCCTGGGCCGAAAGCAGGCGCTAAACTTCCAAGCCACTGGGGCTGCCCAATAAAATCTTAAAAAAAAAAAAAAAAAAGAAACTGCAAGTCACAAAACTATCTGGGTTGTGGCTGACTCATGCCCCTTTGTTCATACTCAGCTATGAGAATATTTTTGAAAGCTAATGGTTGCCGCTGTAAAGGCTGGAATGAATGAGGGTTAACTACTCCACTGCAGCCTCAGGACAAGGTTATGGGGAAAGCAAGCCTCAGCCCATATTCTATCACCTTGCAAAAAAAGGTTCACTCAAAAAAGTATATAACAACCACAAAGCATGACAGTAATTCATTACAGCCAGCATCAGGCAATCAGAAATCCTCCTAAACCAATGGTTGGACAAAGGCCCACATAGGGTTCAATTCTTGGGTACTATCCCTAAGAGTACCAGCTGCGGATATCACTGGGTTCTTAAACCTCGCTCATGCAAGAATAGGAAATATTGCTAAAATATTTGGGCAGATCCACTTACCTTGAATTCATGCAATTTCATCAATGAGAGCTCATTTCAACCTTCATCTTGCTAATTAACACGTCATTTATTTATTCCAATAATAAAACCTTGTTCTGACATGTGTTATGCTCATTAGCAAAAGCTAGATAATCTAGATAGCAGAAATGGGTATAGCAGCAGCCTGTGGAGGGTGGGTGCTGTGCTTGGAGTGCCCACACACCAGCCCTGGGGTGTACATGATCGATCTGCATCTGGCTTATTGCTTAACCTAAATTTGCAGCATGTAATATCACTCTATAATTGGTGAGAAATTTTTAAAAGATTTATTTATTTTGAGAGAGAGAGAGAGCACACACGTGTGTGTGAGCAAGGGGAGAGGCAGAGGGAGAGGGAAGAGGAAGAGAATCTCAAGCAGATTCTCCATTAAGGATGGAGCCTGACATGGGGGGCTCGATCCCACAACCCTGAGATCATGACCTGAGCCAAAATCAAGAGTCGGATGCTTAACCCACTGAGCCATGCAGGTACCCCAAATTGATGGGGAATTTTATTTTATTTTATTTTATTTTTATTTTATAAATTAATTTTTATTGGTGTTCAATTTACCAACATACAGAATAACACCCAGTGCTCATCCCGTCAAGTGTCCCCCTCAGTGCTTGATGGGGAATTTTAAAGTAAATTTCAGAAATTATAACTGTTGGGGCCAGGTGGGAAGGGAAACTCCTCAAGATGGCGGATACCCCAAAATGGCTGAAGTTCCTGTCACTACCTCCACCTGGGACGCCAATGGACCAATGACCTGCTGACAGCTTGACGCAGACCCTTAGACCTCTCCTTTGGACTTCCCCAACCGAACCCAATGCCCTTCAAACCCCAGGGGAGGAAGTCACCTTTGGCCGAATTGCAATCCTTCCTTTGCATAGTGAGGGTCACTCTGACTGGTTGGACTGCAATCCTTCCTTTGCATATGAGCCGACCAATAGGAAACCGTTCTGCCTTACAACGTTATGTAAACCCCCTGCCACCTTGTCTTGGGGCGACTTCCCCGACTCACTCTCCTTCCCCCGTGAGTCGTGGAACCTCGCCCGAGGGTGCCTGCAATAAAATCTGTTCTTGGACCCTCGCTTGCCTTGGCGGTCTCATTTCCATTTAGTTACTAAAAAAAACCTAACAATAACAAACTGCCTAGTGGTAAAATAAGAACTCAAACCTCATTCTTCTGGCTTCCAAAATATTTTCTGAAGGGCTACTTGCCTCTCTTTAATTAAAAAAAAATCAGAAAGTTTGCTAAACATATGCCAGGCAAGATGTCAAAATATGAAATCATGCATGCCCATGAAACTGGGATTCTCTGCAACTAGTTCTTAGGAACCCTGATCAGTGTGTCCTGCAACTTCTACAACGGGGTGTGTTTCTGAGTCCCATGGGGCCATCAGCAGACACACAGGGTGACCTCTCAGCATTATGGTGAAGGGAACTCGCTCTTGTCCACAAGGTGATTTTGGCTTCTTGGCTTGTCTCGGTGGACGTGTGGGGCATGATGAGATGGCCCCATAAGAGGCACTAAAGAAATACTTGTCAGGTTAAGTTGTGCTGAAAATCCTGTTGGTTTCCAGGGAGCTTGGGTGAAAGGATTTTGAAAATGTCCATAGGACACTGATTTAGGCTTAGAACTGTTTGTTTTGAATCCTGCTCTAAGACTCTGTATAGTCCTGTGATTCTTGCCCTTGGCTGCATGTTAGATCATGTGAGCAGGTGGTAAAAATTCTCAATGCCTGGTTCTATGCTAGAGCAATTAGATCAGAATCTCTGGGCTTCGGGTCCAGGCATTAGTGGTTTGTTGGTTTTTTTTTTTTTTTTTTTTTAAGGTTTTCAGATGATTTGAATGTGCAGCCAGGGTTGAGACCCAATTCAGTGCTTCTAAGACTGCAATTTTCAAGCCACCTGGGGATCTCGTTATAATGCAGATTCTGAGATTGTGGCTTCTAACAACCTCTCAGGTGACGATCATGCTGATGCATGCTGATGCACCGTGGACCATGCTTTGAGTGGCAAGGTCTAATCTCTTACCACCAAAAGGTTTGGGGGGCAAAACCACTTAAGCCAAATCTGAGATGGGCCAAAATAATCCAACTCAATCCTACCCGAGGATATGAGGAATACAGCCTCAGTGTGAATATGAAGCAAATCAAAATGATTAAACGCCTAAACGTTTCCTAAAAACTGAACTTTGGTTTCCCACTTGTCTTAAATGCTTAGAGTATTTTTCAACTCACAAAAATGGCATAGCTCTAGTACTAAAGAGCTAATCATCTAATGCAAAAAAAAAAAAAAAAAAAGCCATCTCCCCATCCTGATCATTATGCCCTTCGTATTTACTGATTGTCTCGGCTCTCCCTGCCCCTGTAGTTGGCCTGCCACAGGGTGATACCTACCTGTGTTTGCTGTTCTTTCCACAGCTAGAGTTTATTCATTGCAGGATCCAGGGAGGGTGTGGAGGAAGCTCGTCACACAGCCGGCGGGTCTGCAAACAGCGGAGGCGGCTGGAAAGGAAAGGGCAATCTTTAAATGTAAACAAAGGAGCAGGCTGGGGCTCACTGAGTGGCCTTTTCGCTACATCTGCATAAGCAGATAGTCCCTGACATCAAGCGCAGCGGCTTGAATCTGAAAGAGCGAGAGAATTCTGCAAACTCGGAAAGCACAGAAAACCCAAGCCCCTACCCACGGAGCCCAAGGTGTGCGCCTGTGAATTATGTTATCAGCCACGCAGCAGGACTGTGGAAAGCACTAACTATGAACAATATATAAATTACAGAGGTCATTCAATGTGCAGATCAAGTGCAATTAAAATGCAAAAGACTTTTCTTTTTACCTGACTCAGAAAAAAATTTGTGCAACACAAGGGTGCCTCAAATTGTCCAGTAGAGCGGGGGTGGCGGTGTGGGGCGGAGAGGTGTGTATGTGGGGCGGGGGGACCTGATTACTGGACTCAAAAAGGCTAACGTGCAATTTGTGTTCTTTTTATGTAGATTAAATGCATTGACTGCAGCTTGTACCGCTTAGATACGCAGCAGGGAGTCAAAAGCTTGGGTATCAGTCAACCACAGCCAGCAGCTAAAGCCTGGGCCAGATCTGTTATTGTGCCTCAAATGAGACACTTAATCTAATCTAATGGGAGCAAACCCCCCTGGACAAATAAAAGGGTATTACCAGCAGCAATGGCAGCTGTAATGTTAAAAAAAAAAAAAAAAAAGCACCAAATATTTTTTTTGTGATAACATAATTAATGACTCTTCCAGCCTCCTTAAAAAATCTTGCTTCCAGCTCACAGTGGCTTGTGAAGAGTCTCAGGAGGTAAAGAGCAGGAGCAAGCAGCCGGCCTTCTCCCCCTCTCAGGAAGCCATGTGTGCTAGGTGTACCACAATCAGAGAAATGTGGGGGGTTTTTTTCTCCCTGGAGCCAAATCTGCACCCTCAAGTAGCAGGAAAACATCACTGGGGTTTTGATGAATTTGCCTTATTAAAGCCAACAAGAGCGACGCAAGGGGTAGGAAGAAAGAAGACCGTGAAACCCAGGGCCTGGGCTCCCAGGACAGGTCCAGTAACCATCTGAGACACAATGAAACCAGAACCGAGGATCACAGAACAGATCAACAGAATGCTGAAAACTCAAGTTCATCTTGAAGGACATGAAATCCAACCTCTCCTAACTCAGGAAGTGATTCCGTAGTGTTCCTGTTGGTTAGGGATTTTAACTCCAGAAAAAGAAAACCCTTTCTAGAAGCTCTGCCTTCAGAATGTGTTCCCTTCAATTCCCAAGTCACTGCACAAATAGTCCTTTGGTTAGGTGCTCCCCAGACTTTAAAGTGCATATAAATCCCCTGGGGATCTCGTTAAAATGCAGATTAAGATTCAGTATACCCCCATGACGTGGGGCACGGCATGCTAAACTTCCAGCAAGCTCCAGGGTGATGCCAGTGCTGCTGTTCCATGCACTACTCTTGGAATAAAGCTTTGGTTATCTGATCCCACCCGAAATCAAGCTGAACCCTGGTAGCCTGGTGCTAAGGCCAAGATTTCTAGATTTAGTTTCACGTGGTCCATTCTCCTTCATGATCCCAACCTTATTTTATCCCTGTTCAACCATCTAACACACAGTCTGTGGCCACCACTCCAAAAGGCCGATGCAGCTAGGGCAGTTTCCTGTACATTGGACACCCCATTACTGCAGAAGCTTCTCTAAATGGCAGACACGAAACCATTTTGCCAAATATATTCATTGTCTATTACTGTGTAACAAATCATCTTAACGCTTGGTGGCTTAAAACAATAAACACTCATTGTCTTCCAAAACTTCCATTGGTCAGAAATTCAAGAGCAGCTTGGTCAGGTGGTTCTGGCTTGGGGTCTCTCCTGAGAGTACAGTCCTGTTGGCCGAGGTGACAGCTATCAGCAGGGCCTGACTGGGACTGGTCAGTCTGTTGCTTCCGAGGCAGCAGGTTGGCGCTGAGTGTTGGTGGGAGAACTCAGATTCATTCCATGTGGGTTTCTCACCATCCGGCTGCTTGAATGTCTGTGGCATGATGACCACTTCTCCCAAAGCGAGTGATCTAAGACACCAAGACAGAGGTCCCAACACACTTTAGACCTACCCTCAGAAGCCATGCAACAGAAACTTGTGCCATGTTCTCTTGGTCACACAGACCAGCCATGAATTCACTGTGAGAGGAGACTACATAAAGGTGTGGATACCAAAGGCAAGGATCACTGGAGGCTGGCTCCACACCAAATAAGCCAAAGCTCCCTACTCCCTCTGCAAAACACGCCAACTGAGGTCCATGGCCCACTGAATGCTCAGAGCCACACTCTGATACCACGCACACTTCTCTTCCCACTGTTTACACTTACTAAGAGTTGATTGTGTTTGCTCCCAAACCTGTTTAGGACAATTGTTCCCATTGTACTTGTTATTATAATTAAGTAACTTATACATGTGAATTATGAAATATGAATGCAAAAAGGAGTTGTTTTTATGAGAACAAAACTGCAATTTCGGAAGATATAATAGTAGCAGGTAGCTAAAAATGCTGTTGAATTATGTGTCTGCCAAACAATTATAAGAAGAGTGAAAAATCATTTAAAAACTGGGAGGATTATGCACTAAGCTCACCTCACAAGTGTCTTAAATTCTTGCTCCACTTCCAAAACTGGAAATCAGAGACAGTGCATTTTAGATACGGCTCGTGCAAGAAGGACAGCCTGCAACTCCCATCAGCTGATTTTTATTCAAAGAAAATGACTTGGCTGTACATCAAAAGTTTAGTGAATGAATGTTTATTTACATGTTTTAAGTTAAATAAAATGTTTATAGTTTGCACATACCATTTTTAAAAAATGATTCCTGGTTTTAATTGTTTTTTTTCAATTAACCAACCAAATTCTGGTTCAGATGGACAGATGAAAGCATCCATTATAAACAGGAAGTTGCTCCTGGAAATAGCACTTTTGTTTAGAAGGAAGAGGAAGGGTGGGGGGCACCTGGGTGGCTCAGTCAGTTAAGCATCTAACTCTTGACTTCAGCTCAGGTCCTGTTCTCAGAGTTGTGAAATCGAGCCCTGAGTCACATTCCGTGCTGGGTGTGGAGCCTGCTTAAGGTTCTCTCTCTCTCCCTCTCTCTCTCTGCACCTCCCTCCTCCATAAAAGAAAGAAGAAGAAAGAAGAAAGAAAGAAAGAAAGAAAGAAAGAAAGAAAGAAAGAAAGAAAGAAAGAAAGAAAGAAAGAGAAAGAAAGAAGTAGGAGGAAAGAAAGATAGAGCTAGAGAGAAGGAGGAACTTGACCATCTGGTTCTAGAAAATTCTGAGACTAGAGGATGATTTGTCTGTAACCTCAACTACTTGCTAGTAACATGGTAGAGTCACAAATGCCCTACTACACATGCCTGGAGCTTCATAATACCTTCTGGTGGCTTCTTAGAATGGTTCTTCCTAACAGTTTGGGGGCTCCTAGACCCCTATGAGAAGCCCACAAAATCAATGGACCCCCTTCCCAGAAAAACGCACTGATGGATAGTATTCCGCATATAATTGTATAGACAACTCAGGTTAAGAATCCACAGTACATACCAGAAAAGAATAATCCCAATGGAAGAGAAGAGACTCAGGTGGGGGAGGAGGAAGAGGGCAGAACAGTCCAGAAGGGCAAGTCTCAGGGTGAGCAGCCCCTCTGTTAGTTCAAGTGACATAACACCGGCTACTATAACAAACAACTCTCCAAATTTAAGTGTGTTGACACCTAACAGTCCTTTGTAGGTGTTCCTGGTCAGCAAGTGAGTATTGCCAGAACTCAGGCTTCTTCTACCTCGTGGCTCCGCTGTGCCAGAATCCCAGAGTCCTTTGCAGACAGCCAGCCAAAGGAGAAAGACCACAGATGTGGCTCATACACTTCTTCAAAACCCCAGCCTGGAGGTGCTGCAGATCACTTCCAGTCATATTTCACTGATGAGGACTGGTTCCAGGGCCACATCCGGAGGTGGGGCTGTAGAACGTATTCCCCGGCCCGGGTAACCATTTCTTAGCAACAACTCCAGAGGGGAATATGAGCTTTTGGTGGTCACAAAGCTCTATCTTTTCCTAGTCATTGCATGCATGTAAAATCAGGTTAAAATAAAAGGCGAGCACTGCCTGGAGAGGGAAAAGAAGTCACCAGAAGATATTATGAAGCCCCAGGCATGTATAGTAGGGCATTTGTGGCTCTACCTTGTTAGTAGCAAGTAATTGAGGTTACAGACAAATCATCTTCTAGTCTCAGAATTTTCTAGAACCAGATGGGTCAAGTTCCTCCTTCCTCCAAGAAGGGAAGCATGCAGATAGCAGGTAAAAATGTTCACCTAAGGTAAGGGGGTGTTAATCTTGGAGGCTCTCTCCACCATGTTTTTAACTAGGGTCTGCTGATACCTTCTCCCCTTGCCCAGTTTTTAGACAAAGCTTCATATCTCGGTTCCTTGGACATTCCAGACCTTGCTCTAAACCTTAGACCGTGGTCTAACCCAGTGGTTCTCAAAGTATGACCCCCAGACCAGCAGCAGCAGCAGCAGCAGCAAATCCTCGGGCCCCACCCAGACCTAGTGAATCAGACACTCGATATAGGCCCTACGGTGTGTTTTAACAAGTCCTCCTGGCCACTCGGATGCAGTCAAGCGTGAGAACCGCTGGAATCTACCAGAAGTCTGCCCTTCACTTGCCTAAACTTCACTCATGTGGTCTCTTAGTGGGTCCACATTAATTTTCCTCCCAGACAGAAGTGGCGTAAGCACTTCTGAAGGCACTTCAGTTTTGTTTGTTTGGGTTTTAGCTCATTTTTGTTTCCGCTGTCTCTGAGATGAGGCTGTGTTTTCAGCCCCCCTAAGAACCATACAGCAGAAAGAAACCAACCTTTTGAAAAATGAATGCTTTTGTAGCCATGAAATGCACAGTCCAGTCAGGCATTTCCAGGTCTTCTTTCTCCCCAGGTGTTTCTCAGATGTTGGTTCCCTCTCAGTCGTAACG